TCTCTTTCTCTTTCTCTCTCTCTCTCACTCTCACTCTCACTCTCACTCACTCACGTTTATGTATGTGCAGCGTCGCTTAAGCTGACATGCAGTGGTGCAGAGCCTCGCTGGATGTCCGGCAGGGTACACGGAGTCCCGACGGAGCACTCCTTGAGTTCAAGAAGGGCGCCGATCCCGGAGCATCCCAGAGTTTCAGGAAAGAAATCGTCGCTCCTCAGGTCCGGTCTCGATGGCCAAGAGGGCAAAGGTGCCGATTGTCCCGGTGACTATCCTGGGAACTGGCCGTTTGATGCCCAGCAAGAAGGACTCCCTCGGCCTCGGCAGCTGGCGATTGTCAGAATGTTTCCGATGGCCAGGAGTTCTTTCTCTACTACAACCGTCCTGGAGCCCATGCCCTAGACTGTCTTGCAAAGCCCACGTTTTCAAAGCCACGACGTCAGCAAACAATCGTGCTGCCTCGGGCCTCCTATTCGCATTGATTGCAGGTGCAGGTGATCGTGCACCCGGCAGTTTCGGCCGAGGCGCAGCAGCATGTCTCAGGATGTGCTTGGCATGTGGGGCAGTCTATCATGACGATGCTCTTAGGTATGCGGGGTTGACTGAATTCCAGACAAAACGTCATTTGACGTGGCTTCGCATGTATGCGAGGAAGTCCAGGAGACTCCGGACAAAGAGCTCCTACTTAACCTGCGAAACACCATTGAGCCATACGCTCAGCATTGGAGCTTCGTTGATTCCTGGCAGATTCGGCTCTTTCCCAGGTCAGCTCTTCCTCTGGAGCTGCAGAAGGGGACCGTGGCAAGTTGAGCCTTTCTCTTCCTCAGACCTTCTGCTCATGTGTGCGCTCATCTGTGCGCTCATCTGATGTCACCGTCTCGGCCTTTGTATGATTTTCCGGCGATCAATGTGCAAAGTGCTCTTGATCGAAAACCCTTGAGGTTCAGTGCTGGATGCCCGGTTGTGTGCTTGCTCTGCAGCTGTTGAGAGCATTACGTGCATCCTGCTATGCTGTTAATGCGAATTCGCTCGACGCTTGTCGTAAAGCCCCCCTCGGCTATCTTGCTGGTACTGGTGGGACTGCCATGCCGAGTCTTCAACAGATCCGAGTGATTAGAGATCGGCAAGAGTCGGGAGGCCGGCCCCAGAATCTGCAAGGGCAGGCGGCTATGGATGGACCGGAGGGCGGTCTGTTCACCGTGGAGTGTAAGGGAAGTGTCTACAGTAGCATGACAATAGATCTTTTTAGCTAGCCGCTTGCCAGAATTTGTGCAGCATTTTTCGAGTTTTCCGCTTCTGTCTCAGTTGCATGGCCCAGCCGTCGATTCGAAATTGCCGCACAGCTGGAACCAGCAGCAATCGGCAGTCTGCTCTGTGGCATCTGGACCTTGCAGATTCGAGCGGACAACCACAGCCGCAAGCCTCCAAAGGCATTGATGCAGATCGTTATTGCTACAAACTGCCATGCGATGGAAGGTAAGTCTAGCACAGACCACAGCCACCCAGAGCCCGAAGATGCCTGAAGCACCACCCCTTCACTCTCGGAAGTAGGTCAGCAACTACCGTTTATTCAGGAAAAGAGCAGTTACTCCATCTCTGGTCTAGCCTTGGTGCCACCTCTGCCATGGCAGACACGGTCCGGCACCCCGGGTGAGTACACGTTGGCATTTTGTATCTGTCAAGCTAAGCATCTGTCGACTGCACACAACGGAGGCCATGGCAGGCGACACACGCTCATCTGGCCTTGTACCGAGGACACAGAAGAAGATGAGACTGAGGAGCCCGAATTTGTGCCACTTCCTCCTCCGCCGAAGGCCTTGACCTTACCCAGAAACGAACTCCAGGATCGCTGTAGCCTGGGTCTCGAGAACGTCGACATAGCTGCTGTTCCCTTCATCAACCTCGTCATCATTTACGGCTTTTGCCATTGCCTTTAAAGATATCAATTGCAGTTGCTACCTTTGTTTTGGTAGGCGTCTTACCCCAGACCGCTTAAACGTATGCAGATGCTGCTCACGAGATCATGCATGTCGAAACAAACCGATGATAAAGCGGCAGTGCTTCTTTTCAACACGAGCAGGTGCTAGCCTGTACCTGGCAGCCGTTATGTCCTTATCGCCTATGTTCTTTCATGCCCGTTTCTCAAGGTCCGAACTCAGAGGCAGAGTGTGTCTGCAGAAGCTTTCGGCGAGTGGTCGCCACCTTACACCTTACGCTGCAGTTGGTCAGCATGCTGAGGGCATGAGCTTTAGCGCCCCACCTGGGAAACTTTAGACAGTCACGTCTTTCAAAAGCCACTTGCTCTGAATGGCAGTTCGGCCGTATGCGAGAAAGATACGATCAGAAGAGCCGGAAAGATTAAGGGCTAGTGTAAAGTGCCCCTAAACTTCCCGAACCCCTCAAGAAGCCCCTCAACCCATGTTGCCGAGGAATCAGCGGGTTATCTTCGAGCCCGCGGTCTATCCGAAAACGTGGAACCCCCAACAGCTTGAGAGGTCTGCAGTCCAGGGATATTTAGGGATGGGTCAAGGGTTGGCCGTCTGGGCTTTTAGGGTCTTTCGGGTTTCTGGGGTTTAGGGCTTAGGGTAGAGGAGTATAGAAGCTTGGTGTACACTATATTATGCCTTTGACAGCTTCTGAGCAGATGCCCTTCACGTCTACCACAACACGTACAGCATGAGGGCTCCGCAGGTACAGATTTTTAATCTGAAACTCCTTTCCGTGAGCATCGGCAGGAATGAAGTTTTGTCGCGCTTGCTTGTACCTGTATGCGGAGGACGCGGAGTACCGACAAGTGCATTTTACGTGGCCTGGCTAGCGGAGGAATTAATCCAACGGAATGAAGTTATACTAGTATAATATTGCGGACGGAGGACTGGGTGCAGAAGTCCAGAGGGGAAAAAAGGTTCCAAGGTTTTCAAGAACTGCAGGAGTATTTCTTCTTTCTAGCGCCGTATTATGTTATATCGTATTATATTGTGTAGTGTAATGTAGTATAGTATAGTATAGTATAGTATAGTATAGTATAGTATAGTATAGTATAGTATAGTATAGTACTCTATAGTATAGCATAGCATAGTTTAGTATAGTATAGTAGTGTATAGTAGAGTATAGTAGAGTATAGCAGAGTATGGTAGAGTATAGTACAGTATAGTACAGTATAGTACAGTATAGTACAGTATAGTAGAGTATAGTGGAGCATAGTACAGTATAGTGCAGTATAGTACAGTATAATACAGTACAGTACAGTATAGTAGAGTATAGTAGAGTACAGTAGAGTAAAGTAGAGTATAGTAGAGTATAGTAAAGTATAGTGGAGTGTAGCAGAGTCCAGTAGAGTATAATAGAGTATGGCAGAGTACGGTAGAGTATAGTATAGTAGAGTATAGTAGAGTATAGTAGAGTATAGCAGAGTATGGCAGAGTAGGGTAGAGTAGAGTAGAGTATAGTATGGTATGGTATAGTATGGTATAGTATAGTATAGTGTAGTGTAGTAGAGAAGAGTAGAGTAGAGTATAGTCGATTGGAGTAGAGTAGAGTAGAGTATAGTAGAGTATAGTAGAGTATAGTAGAGTATAGTAGAGTATAGCAGAGTATAGCAGAGGAGAGTATAGTTAGTATAGTGTAGTGTAGTATAATAGAGTATAACTATAATGCAGTATAGTATACTCCCTGATGTAGTATAGTATATCATAGTGCAGTATAGTATCTTATAGTATCTTCCACCCACCTGTGCCCAGGCCAGACCAGACGCAGGAGCTCGTTGAGGCAAGCGGTGTTCCGTTCAAAAGGGGATGGACGCAGGCCGGTTATTTTGCTTCTTTGGACGTGGGGGTTTAGGGTTCCGGGTTTAGGGTGGGTCATAAGTTGCAAGCCAAATTCCCATGGGAGAAGTCTGCAGCAGTAGATCAAATGGTTCTGTGCAGGTTAGGGCAGCGTTAGTTGAGAGTTGAGAAACAGTTGAAGCTTTGAGCGCTGTTGGTGCGAGCGCAGGCACAAAATGAGCATTGTTTACCTTTGTGCTATGAACGCGAGCAAGCGGCAATACATCTGCCATCTTGTGAAGATTGTGTTTTTCCAACTGGTCACAGTCTGAGTGCAACATGAGCATTCCTAGAAGCTTCAGAGGCCACAATGCCAATACGCCAATCAGCCACTGGAGGTGACAGCGCAATCCTTCTTATTCACGTCTCTTGAAGAGAAGGATCTTCGCGTGGGAAGCCTGGGCAAAGTTAAAGCCTGCGCTTGAGGAGTCTGAGTTGTGTTAGTGTGACAGGGGGCGAAATGTCGCTCGGGTTCAAGATTGTGAGCAAGATTTTGAGTGTGTGCGGATGCCTGCAAATCCGATCCAAGATCCTTCACGCAGCCGCAATGGCGTGATCAATGACGCAGACGGTAGTGGTAGTTGACTGCAGAAACATGCAGAGACTGTTGTGTTAGACACAGCCTCATCTTTGAGGTTGTCATCGCTGCCATGAAGGGCCCGCTGATTTTAGAGTCAGGTTGGAGCTGCAGTGATAGCAAGGGCATGTCGCAGGCGGTTGATTTCGGTGACAGGGCTTGTTTCATGAAACTCTCGCGACATGCACAGCACGATGTCCCTTCCTTGTCTGGGAGAATCGAACTGTTAGGTGCAACAGGTGCAACACTTGGTTGCAGAGTTTACGGTGCACGCCAGGCCACAGAATCATCCAAGAGGGTGACACGGGGGACCATCTCTACGTGGTCACGGACCGTCCCAACCGAGAGGGCTGAGAAAACTGTAGAAAGGTCTCAGAGCATCTCGGCAGGCCTGAGATAGCCCCGTGTCATCTGAATGTCGCTGCTTTGCCGTCTTGAGCATGTATGCTCTCGGTCTGACACGGCCTTTGAATGAGTCTTTTTCGAAAAGGGGCTCCTGTGCTGGAGAGGACGGGTCTATGGACTGCGTCAAGGTCATCGACGGTGTCGAGATGGTCGCTTCTGCTTGCATGAGATGTGGATCGAAGCTCACGATGTTCGTGAATGTTTGCAACCTCGAGCCAAGACTACGTGGGTAGATGATAAACTCCTTTCCAGCTTGAGCTTTGTATCGGTCCGTTTCCAACTCCAGCTGTTCGCTGGACGGACAAACGTCAATCATCGGAGCCCAGGTTGTCAAGACCTGTGTCAAGGGAGACCTCTTTGGGGAGCTTGTGCCCGGACGCACTTTCGTTGTACTTTCATGATCGGGTTTTGTCGCACCGATCTGTGCGGCTCAGTGATCTGCACCCATCTGTGCAATGGGTAAAACCTTGACAGTCGAGGCTTTTTGGCTTATCTAAGCTGTCTCCGTTCAAATTTTCTAGGGATCTTGCTTCGACCGGAGGTGATCTCAAACTCATTCAAACTGAATGGTGCCCACAAGCTTCTGAGGCGCTTCTGTATAATTGTCCCAGAGCGGCGAGCGTCCAATGCCGCGAGGTCAGCGTGATGGTTTTTCAACTTTGCATCTGGAACAGATTTTGATTCCTGTTGCCTGGTGCACTTTGGAGGGGTTGTGTGAAATTAAGTTCTTGGCAATTGGATGACGCAGAAGAAGAGTGTCCACGTCAGCCTGCGGTGCTCTGGGAGCTGGACCGCGCGACCTTCAACAACATCGTCATGGAAGGACCGCCGGAGACATAATCGCGCAGATCGCGCTTCAACTGCACCCACCTAAGCTGGGCAAGTTCAGCCGGACTTGAAAGAAGCAAGGAGTCCAGCGAAAACGAAACCAGCCTTTGCCTGAGTTGTTTCTTGGGTCATGATCTTGCTGAGAAGCAATGCCTTTGCGACCGCGTTCTTTGATGACTCCTGTGCCCTGCCTCTTTCCGTTTTTGACCTCTGTACACAACGGGTCACTGAGCTGCAGAGCTGCAGATGCTGCAGGTGCCTTTCAGTCCTCTCCTCCGTGCCATTGTTTTCCAGCATCACGCGCGGGGAGGCCTGTGTTTGTCTCATGAGGGCTGAAGCAGGTCAGATTACATGATAGTAGAGTATAGTACACTATAAAAGCAGCCAAGCTTCTATTGGCCAGTTGGAAAACATCATCGACGCCTTGAAGATGGAGAGGCGGCCAAGGGGTCCCGGCCCTTGACTTTTTCAGGCCCTTGAACTCTCAAGAGTGCGTTTCCTCGCCCAGTGAGCCTAGGCGACGTCATCATCAGTCAAGGCCGGCAGGTGTGGAGTGTGTGAGGCTTGCGTATACCATCTCATCTCATACTCGTCGGACTCGTGCAGTGCTTTGTTCCGGCGCTCAGTCACGGCAGGCGAAGTCGGCGATCACTTCTACATTGTCTACGAGGGTCAGGTTGGACCGGTCAGGATTGCAGAATTGTAGCTTTATGCATTTCGCCGGTGAGGAAGGTGTGCGGTGTGTCCGCAGGGCTGGGGCTCCTACCAGCAGGTCCTTGTAAGTCCTTTTCTTTGGGGAATCACGGGCTACTGCTGGAGTCTGCTGGTGGAGAACCCTGTCGAGCACGCATATTGCTGACAAGATGCAGTGCATGTGGTGAGGTCATGGCCTCCAAAATCACGGAAGAATCCCCAGAGCCCGTGATGATGATCCATGAGGCGTCGCTGCAAGCATTTTTCGGCTCTGCTCATAGCTCGGGCGGCAACGTTGGTTGCAGCAGTAAGGGTTTGCATCATGGCTTTTCGTCGTTGCCGTCGTACCTGGCATGTTGCTTGTCGTCCGTGTTGTGGTCGTGGCTTAGTTGAAGCACTTATGCGTGGTCCTTGCCGCATTGCTTGAATGTCGCAGAAAATTTGAGAAGGATGTGTCGCGCCATATTAGAGTGACCAGTATTCAGTTTTCAGGACTGCCCATGTTGAAGCCCGGTTTTGTCAGTGTTTCTATTCATTCTGTTCAATCCGCCAGCGGACATACGTCAAAATCATTCAGCGGTGACGAGCCTTTGGATCTCCAGTGCCTCATTTTCAGGAACTGGATTGTTAAGTAGGAGCGTGACCCCGTTAGGCATGCAAGGCCCGCACTGCTGTCTCCCCTTAAGCCTGGCGGTATTTGCGCTTGTTGCAGGCACGACCGTTCTGCAGCTTTCTTGCTGTTCCATGACATTTATGTTCCACCAAGTTCGTTCTGCGGTAGGCAGTTAGGATGCCGGCAACTTGTCGCAACAGCCTCGCAGGCTGGCGACTACTTTGGCGAGCTCGCGCTCATCCTTGAGGCACCCTTCGGTAATGTTCAAACTTGAAAAAGCTAGCATGAGTGGCAACGGGCCTGAACTGGCATGCTAGAATCCCAGGCTGAAACAATACACTACGTGGATGGGAAATCTTCGTGTGGATGCACGTAGTGCCTGCAGCACTCAACTCGCAGCCCTAACCTGAACCGCTCAAGTCTCCCCAAACCCCCAATCCCGAAACCCAAAGCCTCGAAACACTCATGGCACAAGTGGGCGAAAGGAGCCTCGAGCTGCTACGGTGGTAGCCAGCAGCGACCCGGAGGCCTTGAAATGCCAAGATTTCGGGTTGAAAGGTGTGCTTCGGGACCTGGGGCTGGCGGGCTGAAAGGGCCGCGGACAGTTGGCGTTGATGAGGACAGCGAGCACGAGGATGATGGTTGCTCGTCATGGTGATTGTCGATTATGTTGACGAAGAGCAAGTCGAACACAGATGGACATCACAGCGAGATACTGCAGAAACTGTTGGACAGCCTCCCCACACATATCAGTCCCCTGGCTTGCGAAATGCCGTGGTCAAGATCTTCATGGGCTAGTGATCCTGAGATTCAGCACGGAACGATTATGCAGAACCCGACGACATTCCGATCCATCCCTTCACCCTCATTTCCATAGTCAGCGCGGAGCCTGCAGTTGGAGTGTCATCTGCGCTTGGAGCCATGGGCTGTGAACCACGCAATTCATTGAGTTCGTGGTGAAGGTTGCACCAAGAGAGGCATCATCGTGATGATAATGAACGCGACCTTCATCGCTAGCGTCATCCGTATCATCGTCGGCACCATCATCGCGATCGTTTCCTATATTGTCATATGGGGGCTCACATGCATGTTCATACTCACGAACATAACCATCGTCCACACAATCGTCATCACCGTCATTTGCATCTGAATCATAACAGCAGTTCTCATCTTGACCGTCATACTCGCTGTATGCATCGTTGTCAGTTATCGCCATTGAGCCTGACGATAATGATGATGGTCATCATCGTCATTGTCACCATCATCATCATCATCATCATCATCAACATCATCATCATCATCATCATCATCATCTCCAGCATCATCATCATCAGCAGCATCATCNNCATCATCGTCATTGTCACCATCATCAGTAGCCTCAGTGTTTTGCCTGTCTAGCGCTCAGGGTAAGAAGTCCGAGTCATGTGAAGAGAAGGCTGGCATTCTTCGACCAAAGACAACGAAGAACTCAGGTAAGCCATTCGACATAGTGTTATGCAAGCTGGCTTCGGCGACACGCTGCAAGGTGTGCCTGTTGTCCATGGACCGTGCCACCTTCAAAAGAATCACCGGAGAACACAGTCCGAATCCAAGTCTCGAGTGGTACATTGGGTTGAAGATCGCTTCGAGGTTGTCGGAAGGCGACAGAGAGTGGTTGGTTGGTGCTGTTTTCTCTGTGTGTAAAGCTCATGCTTCAGAAATTGTGGCTAGGCCTCTTGGCTCGGTGCTGGGCCAGCTTGTCACAGCATTCGGATGCCTGTTCTTATCATGACGAGAGCAAAGGCGCACTGCATGGCTTCCTGGAAAGCAATGTTGACCGCTATGCATGAGCAACATGTGTGCCACGATAGGTGCGGAAAAAGAAAAGATATACTTTAAAACATAAGAAAATAATGCAGATTTCTTGGCTTTGCGACACAAAATTTGGCAAGAATCTTTTCAACTCTCAATTTGAGAATATATTTGCTTCAGATAATGATTATTCTTTTATGATATGATATATATATTAATGAGATATATGTATATATAAATATTTCTCTCGTATTATTTATATATTGTCATGGATAAAATTGTATCGAGAAAATTTATTGGCCTCTCTATATTTATTAATTTTGACTTTTATTTTCTCGATAAGAAAATAAATTATTGATAAAAATTAATAAATTATATATATATATATATAAATTATAATTTTCTAATAAGAATTGATATATAAGTTGATGAATTTTAAATTTATTAAAATATTTACTATATCTGGAATAATTAGATTAGGTTTGATATTGAATATATTTTATTCTTTTCTGGGATTAATTATATTTTTTTATATATATCTATTTCTAATATATCGCTATAGAATTTTTTTGGAAAATAGAAATTGAATTTTCAATAGATATTTTGATA